CTGTTTTTATTGCTATTGCTTTGTAATATAGTTTGAAGTCGGGTATTGTGGTACCACCAGCATTGCTCTTTTTGCTGAGTATTGCCTTGGCTGTTCGCAGTCTTCCAAATGAACTTTAGGGTAGATTTTTCAATCTCTGTGATGAATATCATTGGGATTTTTTAGTATAGCCATTTTACTATGTTGATTTCTACCAATCCATGAGCATGGGAAATCTTTCCACCTTTTGTAGTCTTCCTCGATCTCTTTCTCAAGTTTGAGTTCTCCTTGTGAGAGGTCATTCAACATCCTTCTAAGTTATTCCTAGGTATTTGATTTTTTTTTTGAGGCTATTATAAATGGAATTGTTTCCATATATTCTTTCTCAGTTTGTTTGTTAATGGTGTATAGAAAAGCTAATGATTTTTGTAAGTTGATTTTGTGTCCTGCCACTTTGCTGTAGCTGTTTATGGTGTCCAGGAGTTTTTTGGTAGAGTTTTTTGGGTCTTTAAGGTATAGGATCATGTCGCCTGCAAAAAGGGATATTTTGACAGTTTCTTTACCTACTTGTATTCTTTTGATTTCTTCTTCTTGCCTAATTGCTATCACTAGTAATTCTAGTACTGTTGAAAGGGAGTGAGATAGTGGGCACCCTTGGTCTCATTCCTGATTTTAGGGAAATTGTTTCAGTTTTTCTTTATTAAGTATGATGTTGCTATAGTTTGTCATATGTAGCCTTTATAATGTTAAGGTACATTCCTTCTGTTCCTACTTTTCTTAGAGCTTTTATCATGAAGTGGTGTTGAATCTTATCAAAGGTTTTTCTGCATCTGTTGAGAGATCAGAGGTTTTGTCGTTTGTCTTCTATTTAATGTGCTAATTACTTTATAGATTTGCATATGTCGAACCACCCCTACATCCGTGGAATGAAGCCAACTTGGTCTTGGTGAATAATCTTTCTGATGTGTTAATGGATGCAGATTGCCATTATTTTACTAAGGATTTTTGCATCAATATTCATTAAGGAGATTGGCCTATACTTCTTCTTTTTGGAGTATCTTTGTCTGGTTTTGGGATGAGTGTAATACTGGCTTCGATAAAATAAGTTAGGCAGTTTCCTTCCTTTTCTATTTCATGGAACAGTGTTAAGGAGGGTTGTATTAGTTCTTGTAAAGTGTGATTAGAATTCAGCTGAGAATCCATCAGGTCCTGGACTTTTCTTTTTTGGGAGACTCTTGATTGCTGCTTCAACTTCATTTTGTGTTAGAGATCTATTCAGGTGATTAATATCCTCTTGGTTCAATTTTGGGTCTTTGTAAATATCTAGAAATCTGTCCATTTTTCTTAAGATTTTCAAATGTTATTAGAATATAGTTCTCAAAGTAGTCTCTGATGAGTTTTCCCGGATTTCCATGTGTGTTTCTATATTCTCCCCTTTTGCATTTCTGATTTTACTGATTTGAGTTTTTTTCTCTCCTCCATTTAGTCAGTTTGCCAGGGTTGGTCAATCTTATTATATTTTTCTTAGAACCAGCTTTTTTTCATTGATTCTTTGTATGTTTTTTTTTTCTATTTCATTAATTTCAGCCCTTATTTTATTAGCCTTTCCTTTGCTTGTTTGGTTTTGCTTGTTCTTGTTTTTCTAGGAGTTTGAGATGAGCATTTAGGTCACTGATTTGAGATCTTTCTGTCCTGGTTTAATATATGCACTCGATGGCTATAAATTCCTCTTAGGACTGCCTTTGCCATACCCATAGGTTCTGTAGTCTTGTTTTCATTTCATTAACTTCCAGGAACGTTTTAATTTCCTCTTTTATTTCATCAATGACCCATTGATCATTGAGCAATGTGTTGTTCAGCTTCCAATTGTTTGCATGTTTTGTATTGTTGTTTTTTTGTTGAGTTCTAGCTTTAATGCATTGCGATCAGATAGAATACAGGGGATTATTTCTATTTTCTTATATTTCCTGAGGCTTGCTTTGTGCCCTAAGATCATTTAGTTGTTTTTGTAGTTTAAGGGTTTTACTGTGTGCAGCTGAATCAGTGTTACTCTCTACTTTCTTGTCTTTTCTTCTCCTGTGGTTTGGTACTCCCTGCCCTTTCTTGGTTTTGTTTGTTTTCATTTTCTGTGTGCAGAATTCCTTAGAGAATCTTTTGTCGTGGTGGCTTGGTGGTCATATATTGTTTTAGTTTCTGCTTATCATGGAAGACTTTTATTGCTCCATCTGTTTTGAATGATAGTTTTTTTGGGTAGAGAATCCTAGGGTTGAAGTTATTTTCATTCAGTGCCCGGACCCCTCACTCCATGCTCTGCTTGCTTTTAAGGTTTCTGTTGAGAAATCTGCTGTGATTTTGATGGGTTTACCTTTGTATGTTGTTTTTCTCTCTTATAGCCTTCAATATTCTTTCTCTCTTCTCTGTGCTTGTTTTAATGATAATATGTCATGGGGTAGTTCTGTTTTCGTCAAGTCTGTTTGGTGTCCTGGAGGCTTCCTGTACCTGAATGGGCATAGTTTTCTCTAGATTTGGGAAATTTTCTGTTATTATTTTGTTGAATATATTACAGATTCCTTTTGCTTGCACCTCTTCTCCTTCTTCAATGCCCATGATTCTCAGGTTTGGTCTTTTGATGGAGTCCTTGAATTCTTGCATGTTCCTTTCACAGGTCTTGAGTCATCTAACTAGTAGTTCTTCAGTTTTTCCTTTGATTTCCATTTCATCTTCAACTTCTGAGATTCTATCTTCTGCTTGTTCTAGTCTGCTGGAGTGGCCTTCCATTGTGTTTTGTATTTCTGTTTCATTCTTTTTTCTGAAGTTTTCAGTATCATGGGTCACTTTCTCTTTAATATTGTTAATTTTCGTCTTTAATTCATTTATCTATTTATATTGTTCTCTATTTCACTTTGTTTATTTAGGGCTCTGAGTTAACTTACTTGTTTTTTGTGTTTTCTCATATTCTTTATTTTTGTTGTCTTGGAATTTCTTGAGTGCCTCTTGTACGTTTTGGTTGACCATGTATAGTATCATGTCTATGATATTCTCAATGATTACTTGCAGAGTTTCTTCTTACAGTGTGTTCTTGTGGGCTTCTTTGGGTTCCTTGGCATAGTTTATCTTTGTTTTGTTGAGTCTGGAACTGGATATCTGTTTTCTTCATTTTCCTCTGAATCCTGTATTAATTTATTTTTGGGGGGGAGAATAGGTTCCATTCCTTTTTCATCTTCCCATCACTCCACTTGGTACTGTGTAACTATGTTCTTGATAGGCTATCAGAGGTTTCCATCACCTGTTTTCTTCCCTTGGTTTAATTTTGTTTTGTGGGTTTGTTTGGTTTTAGGTTAGTGTATGTATGCTGTTTCCGTCCCTGATTCGTGTGTAATTTAGTATTAGCTAACTCACAATAGTAAAACTAACAAAACAAAGAAAGAAAGAAAAAACGAAAAAGAAAACCAAAGAAATCAGCAGGGAGATGTGGTGGACAAACAAACAGGGAACAAAACAAAGAAACACATGAAAAAAATTTCAAGTGCAGGAACAATAGAATTTCAGTTTTAGTAGTTTTGGTGTTACTCCTTCAGCATCCAGGGGTGTTGGTATTTAAGCAGAAGCTCTGTCTTAGTCTTGTCAGGTGGGTTCGGAGACTCGACAGTTCTATTTCCTGTCTTTCAGCAACGGCTGCTTAGTCAGCTCTTCCCTCAGTGAGGTGTGCCATGTCCTCAGGTTCCAGAGATTAGCTTTGTGGCCCACCAGCCGTCCTGCTTTGGAGTTGGGTTTTTGCTGTGTTGGTTTATTGGGGGCTTGTTTCTTTGCCTCGCTTCCTTTCTCTGGGGCAAGGTCAGTGCCCCATCAGCTGGCTCCCTGCTGTCAGCGTGTTATGCTGGTTTGCTGATTATTTTTCAATTTTGCAGTGTCATTTGACTTTGGATGTTGCTTACTGGCTCAGGAGATGAGATTTGTGTACCTCTACCTGCTCTGTTTCAGGCAGCAGCCTATCACCCGCCTGCTGTTGGCCCTTCTGCCTTTCCAACCTTTGTTTACTGAAAGTTTAAATGGAGATCAGCTCCTTGCCCCTCCTCCCTTCTCTGGTGTGCTTACAGCACCCCAACCCCTCTGCCACGTGTCCTTTTCTGTTCCTTATTCATTATTCAGGTTTTTTTTGTTTGTTTGTTTGTTTTTTGCATGGCGGGGATCCGTCTGTCCAGGGGCTATGTTGGTTTATCCCAGGGGTGGTTGGGGGAATACCCTGTGATGATTATTTGCTCACCTGTTGGTCTGCCAGATGTCTCCCAAGCAGGTTTGGAGCCAGCGTCTGGCAGCGGAGGAGCCCCCCCTTTTTCTCTGTAACGTGGCCTGGAGAAGCTTTGTATGGGCTGGGCTTCAGGGTGTCAAAGTTTTGATTCTTCTTGGTGATTTTGTCTGCCAAGTGTTGCTCCAGCCTCAAAGCAAGATTTTTGATTTATGGAGCTCATGCTGTCTGCTTCTGCACTCTAATCGCCATGTTGGATCGCAACAAGATGTTTGTTCTTAATCAGCATTAACAGATGAGAATTTGCAATAAATTTTGATAATAAGGAACAGTGATTAAGTAAATTAGTGTTACCTCCACAAGAATACTGTTCTCATTAATATACGTATTTTTTTTTTGAAACTTGTACTCAACTGTTATATTTTAAATTCCATCAACTAAAAATTTATGGAAATTTTTTTTCTCTTTTTTAATCTAAGAACCTACATAATAACATTTATACTGTCTCAGGCCACAAAACCTAAAACCTCTTTGATCCTCTGTAGAAAAAGTTTGCTAATCCCTTAGGTGATTGGTGCCAGAGTGTGATAGAAAACTATTTTCTCCAGACCTATTCTTTATATACCTTTGCAACACAGTCATAGTTTGGTATTTACAAAATCTTTTTATCAATATTCTCATAGGGATTGATAATTGTGCTAATCTAGAGTTGAATAAGAATTCCACAAACTTAAATATTTATTTATAATTTAATTTTCTTTGTGAATTATTTTAGTTCTGGTATTGTTTGGGAGATGAAACCAAAACGGAAATGGAAACCTTTTAGTCAAAAGCAGATAATCTTATTGGAACAGTCCTACCAGAAGCATCAAGTGTCACAAGACCGTGGCTGGATAAAGCTAGACAATAATTTTGAGGTATATCAAAATTGTTTAGTGTTTTATAGGTTTATAGTTTTATAGCCTGTGTTTTGTTGATGGTAGTAGTGGGAATAAATAAAATTTTTATGTCCAGTGTGTATAGAAACTAAATTATATTTGTAAATATAATCTTACTTATTAGGAGCATTGTCAGTATAGCTTAACTATACTTAGTTAAGTTAGTTTATTATAGTAAAACAGGATTTAAACCAGTTTCTTGTCCATATTTTTATAATTTGTTCCATTTACAAATCAGTTTCATAGAACTTGTTTTTGGTAAGTTTATGGACAAATTATTTGCTTATTGAAAAGTTTTCTCATACTCTGAATAATATTTATATATTGCTAATAAAGACTATTTCATTATTACATATTTCATTGATGAAAAACATACAAAACCCTACTCAGTTAGACTCACTAAATGTGAGTGATTACTGAATGTCAGTTGCTATGGGTTCCCAAATAAAGATGTGCTCTCCACGGAATCAGACAGAGCTAAAACTCACAGTCACCTTTGCTCCAAGAAGACTCCAAAAGTTTGACTTACAACTTCCAGCTGGCTCTGGTTCAGTCATGTACTATGGTCAGTCTTGTCTTTGGTATTTGAGAGATGAATTTGCACTGGCCCCTAGTTATGTTCCCTGCCCAATACCCATCAGTGTTGACTGAGCTGGAATGAAAAAAACAAAAAAAAAAAAACAACTATATCATTATTGTCATAAATAAATAAGGTATTGACTATTCATTTTAAAGCAAAGTTTAAGAATTATATGGAATTATCCATTACTATTAAAGTTTTTTATATAATGTATATTTTATATTACTATTTTACGTAGTATTTTATATTAAAAGTTTTTTTTTTTACTTTAAAGTACAATTTCTATAATTGAAAGCTTTCAGAATTCTTATTTTCCTAAAAATTATTTAAAAAGCGATGCTTCTGTTTGAGATCCCAGTTGTAGCTGACCTTAAGACAAGACTTCTAGTGAGAGACAGAGATGGAGTGTTCCTCTCTCACTATAAGTAAGCAAGTATTGTTAATGGGATAGGTGCTCTTCTAATAACAGCTCATCATGAAAAACTGCCTTTTTCTTCCAGGTCAATTTTGATAAAGTTCCGATGGAAATGCGCCTTCCTATTCGATGCCCTATTAAACGAGACTTTTTGTCAGGAATTGAGGTTGAATTTAAGCAGTCTCCTCATCAGAGAAGTTTAAGGGCCAGATTGTACTGGCTTCAGGTAACATTGTCATTCTCAATTAAGTACATGTTTCAATTTCTTTTTTTGCAAGGTTGAAGTGTGTATGAAATTGGTCTGTTTTGGGGGGTTGCGAATGTCATTCAGAGGTAAAGAACATGTGGCTTCAATACCTGGCAATAATATTAAAAATAAAAAATAAATTGGTATTTTTTCTCTTTGTATGTTTTTTTCTCTTCTCTCACATATCCTGTGAATTCAACATCTTACCTACAGCCCAGGTCTGAAGACCTCATGATTGTTGAGACTACTGATTTGAGCAGGGAGCCTACCAAGGGTGTTTTCTTATACTGACATTATGTCATTTTTAAAGGTTCCTTTGAATTTGCATTGAGATCCCCAGCTAAGACTTTCCTTTGTCATTTGTCATGCAAATAGCAGAGCTTGTTTTTCTATGGTTACTTGCTTGCCATTTCCCAGCTTCCCTCTCCTTTTCTTCTTCCTTTTATAATTGTTAAATATTATCTAGGACATTTTAATTTTCTTGCTTCTGACTACCCTCTAATTTCATATTCTCTCCTTACATTTCTTTTAAGTCACAGAGTCAAAATCTCACATGATCCATAAGTACAGATATTTGCACCGATGCTGTGCCTGCTACACGATGTTAATGCAGTTATGAGGGTGTTTGGATATTATTTTATATAAAGACTTTTCCTTGCTGAGGCATATAAAAATTGTTCAAATATAAGGTGAAACTTCGAGTGTCACTACATGTAATTAGATACTTCCTTATGATGAGACTGTAGCTTCGTCTACAATGTCTCTGAAACTATAAGTTTAAATCTAAACTATTTTAAATCCTCTAAAGCAGGTTTTCTTTTCTTCAGGTTGATAATCAGTTACCAGGCACAATGTTCCCTGTTGTTTTTCATCCTGTGGCTCCGCCAAAGTCTATTGCTTTGGATTCAGGTAAAAAACAAAACACAGCAAAAGAAATGCAGGCACACCTTGTTTATAAAAGCTAGGTAGACATTGGTTTGACCTAGGGTAAAACTGGATTTTTCCCTTTATTTTTTCTTCCATTTAGAACCCAAACCTTTCATTGATGTGAGTGTAATCACAAGATTTAATGAGTACAGTAAAGTCTTACAGTTCAAGTAAGTAAAGATTCTTACTGTTTTGAAAATAAATTTTATTGTTTTTGAAAGTGACTTTTGTATAAGAATTATTTTCCAACTGACCATACCAATTCACTTTTGGTAAAGTAATTTTTTATGCTTTTCTTATTTTAAGAATTATCTGTACACATTTTAAAGATGCAAAATTCCTTCAACTACCTTCTCTTTGTAATTCCATTTAGAATATAAAATAGTGAAATATGAATGATGTGTATTTATGAGCTGTGTTCTTTAAAGCAATTGCTGTGAGCTTTGAAAATCGGTGATACATGCTACATCTTCTAGTTGTAATTATCTCCACTGGCATGATGAATATGGGCATTTGGTACTTTTAAGTGCTAAATGTTAATGCAGCACTAGTACTTCAATTGAAGCTTTCACTATAATGAAGAAGTCTCAGTTTAAGTATACTTTTACTAACCTAATTTTTAAGGCATGAAGAAACAAGATTACTGTGGCTTTTGGCTAACATCAAAGTTTTTACATTGAAAATTACCAATTTTTATTGAAACCCTTTCCTGTCTTATATTTTTCTATAGGTATTTTATGGTCCTCATTCAGGAAATGGCCTTGAAAGTTGATCAGGAGTTTCTTGGAGCTATTATTGCTCTGTTTACCCCAACAACTGACCCTGAAGTTGAAGGAAGACGGGTAACAAGATTTTTTTCTTGGGCCAAACACAAAATTAAAAAAAAATTAAATCAGCCATTTTTTTGAGCAAATTGTTATAGTAAAGAACTTTTTTTTAATTCTTGATTTAATTTTTTTCAGACAAAGTTAATCCAACAGGATATTGATGCTCTAAACACAGAATTAATGGAAACTTCAATGACTGATATGTCAATTCTTAGTTTCTTTGAACATTTCCATATTTCTCCTGTTAAGGTTTGTTATAATTGTTATTTTTAAAACTTAGCATAATTGTTTTTGAACTTTTTAAACAGTTTGTATATAAATGTAGCTTTTAATTTGCTGCATGAAATATTTGGTGGGAATTTTGTTTGATTAATCACAATCCCCTGTAACATATGTACAGCAGTAATTCCCACAGAGAAGCCATTAGAACATGTTCTCTAGTGTTGAATTAATAACCCCTTTACTCAAGGAAGAAGCTGACAAAGACATTTCTTAATTAAGCATAGAAGTGCTCACCAATGTCTAATGTTCTGCTTGCACTTTGTAACTACGATCACTGTCTAAACAGAGAGCTATAATGGGTGCCCTGACCAAAATGTGAAAATGCTGAAGTAGGTATTATACTGTTGATGCGGTGTTTCCCTTCCTAAATTCACTTGTAACTAAGGGAGTGGGAAATTGGATCCCTTTCACTTGCCTGACTTTGTACTTTATGAATGCGTTTCCTTTTCCCCTTTTGTTGTTCTTTGTAGCTTTTATGGGGAAAGGTGACTGCTTAGTAAATTCACAAATGCTCTCAACCGTAATGCTCTCAACTTGTGTAATGGGCCAGATTTATAATTGAACAACTCTTTTAAAATATTGATGATCCTTTACATTCTTAGATACCATTTATGGCAGTTTATTTTCAATTGCATTTACTGATCCATTCGGCCAAATGCATGGATTTATAAAATAGAATTGTTTTAAATTGTTCAGTGGTATCATACATTTCCAAAGTGTCATATTTTCAATTGATAACACTTTATGTGATATGTCATGCACAATTTTTTAATTAGTAAGTGAAGATCAGCTATCTATAGAATTAATACTTCAGTAAGAATTTACTGAATGTCTATTACCAAACTTGCTGTAGAGGTACAAAATGATTTTGTGGAGTTTATAATCTAGGGGAATATTAAAAATTGGTAATTTACCTACTTATATTCTTTGGCACATTAGAAATTGTGCATTGAAATTGAGTAATGATGATTATGAATCAGTTATTTTCTTAGTCCATGATCACTTTGCCCCAGAGAAAGGTGGGAGCTTTGTCCCAGCACTCCCCAAGCCTGCATATAAGTAGACATGTAATTAAATTAAAAACCAGGCTTTCCTGGCATTGCCCGAAGTCCATTCTCCTTGAGCGCAATACTAGTGAGGGAAACTACCTGGGAGATACAGAATGGAAAGGTGAGTCATCTGCTCTGTTTACACATGTTGAGTTACCTTTTACCTGTGTCTTGTGTTATTGCCCTAAAGTAGATACACAGCACAAAATGTAAGCCAAGTGGGAATGTGAAATCTCATGTTTCAGTGCTATGTTGTAGGTTCTGTGGAAGCTGAAAACTTTATTTATCTTTCAAAGTTTTTTTGACAGTGTGTTCATTGTTGTTAACTGTTATGGTATGATTATAACAATCATTTTTGTTAATTATTGCCACAAGTTATTTACCTTAGTGAATGAAAATAAAGTTATATAGTGTTTTCAGTGGCAGACTACTTGTGTGCCAGTGGACATATTTTTTTAAAATGATTAGACTGTTTTGTAAGGGGTATTATTAGTTTCCTCCATATGAACACTATGGCATTTAAAAACTTGGAATGAAAATCGAGCTGTATTTTTAGATTAGAGTAATATGTATTTTATCAAAAAATAAAAACCAAATATAAGTGAGTTCTGAATAATGTATACAGGACAAATTACAGGCTTTACTAAGACACTAATTGAAACATACATTTGGTCATGTTGGAAGATCTGGTTTCCTAAGTATGTAATTTTTGGTTTTGAGCTTTTATTTGTTGAGTGCTGTTTTTCTTTCAGTTGCATTTGAGTCTGTCTTTGGGATCTGGAGGTGAGGAGTCAGACAAAGAAAAAGAAGAAATGATTGCAATTCATTCTGTTAACCTGCTGTTGAAAAGCATAGGTGCTACTTTGACTGACGTGGATGACCTCATTTTCAAGTAAGACTTCTGTTAAAAGTACATTGGGCAGCTTTTGTACCTAAGTTTGTGTTTCTGGAAATTTTCTCCATTTGTGCAATATTAGCTTTGAAAATTGCACTAAACTCTTATCTACTTATATTTGGAGAGTTTGAGGTCAGGCGCCCGTGGCTCAGCCCTGTAATCCTAGCTACTCAGGAGGCAGAGATCAGGAGGATTGTGGTTTGAAGCCAGCCCAGGAAAATACGGTTTTTTTGAGACCCTATCTCAAAAATAAATAAATAAATAAATAAAATCACACAACAGGGCTGGTAGAGTGGCTCAAGCAGTTGAGTGAGTGCCTATCTATTGTGAGGCACTGAGTTCAAACCCCAGTGCCACCAAAAAAAGAGCCTTTTATTTATAATTCTTTGGTTATTCTTATCCAAACAATAAATGAATGTAGAATAAAAATTGAATTATTTTAGTGTATTATATTAGGAATTGACCTTTTTGTGGTTTGGGGACTTGAACTCAGAGCCTAGCATATGCTAGATAGGTGCTCTACCATTTGAGCCATGCCTCCAATTCATTTTTGCTTTAGCTACTTTTCTGATAGGGTCTTGCATTTTTGCCCAAGGCTAGCCTCAGATCATGATCCTCCTACCAGTAGATCCTGCTACCCAGTAGCAGGGATAACAGCAATACAACACCATGCCTGGCTTATTAGTTGAGATGGGGTTTAGCTAACTTTTTGCTCAGACTGCCCTCAAATCACAATCCTCCCCATCTCTGCCTCCTGAGTAGCTGGGATTATAGGCATGAGTACTATGCCTGGCCCTTAGTTGACCGTGTTATACTACAAAGTTATATTTAGAAATACATAGAACAAGGGTGAGATTTCAGTATAGTTACATAGCAAAGCATAGAAGTAAGAACTCCATGCTACCTTTAATGTGAGAATATTTGTGTACTCCATATGTACATTCAGTCCGTATTGAATATTCAACAAAGATTGGAATAAGCTGTCACTTGGGAGAAGAAAGTTCTTTTAGATTATTTGTATTTCACACATATATGACTAAATTTCAGAAGTATATTTAAACTGAAAACTTATAAAAAGTTAATTATTAAATCTGTGAGTAGAGGAAGTCTTTAAAAGCAATGAGAAAAATCATTGTGGAAAATATGTTGTTTGACTACATAAAAGTTAAACACTTGGGCTGGGGATGTAGCTCAGTGGTAGAGCACTTGCCTAGCATGCCTGAGGCCCTGCCAACCAACCAACCAAAAAAATCCAAAAACTAAAACAAACCACTTTACAACGAAGTCAATGAGAATAATTTAAAACAAAAACTGGGAAAATGTAATGACAAGTATAACAAACAGATGATTAATAGTCTTAATATTAAATACTGACAATAAGAAAAACCTAAAGATACAATGGCATAATAGCCATAGGACAGTAAGAGATCATTCACATAAAGCAAACGTGAAGTGGTTGACACGTATTTGAAATGTCTGCCTTTTTACTTATTAAAGAAAACATTTATATTACTTTATTTATTTCTAGTAGTTATTTTCTCTTTATAAGCATCAGGAACATTTCTGCAGGTTCCTTAAGATTGTTTCCTTCTTTTTGCTTCCTACCAGTTTTACTGAGTTTAAATAGATGTGGTTTTGTTTTAATTTTTTTGTTTTCTATTTACTAAACTTCCTTTAAATTTGTAGATTTATACCTTCATCAATCTATGAATATTCACAGCTGTTACCTCTTCAGATATTCTGTCCCGTCCCTCCTTTTTCTCCGGTAATGTAATTATAGATAGTTTGAGGAATATCTGGCACATGGGAGGTTTATTATAAGTATTCCCTGTTATAGATTATTTTCTAAACCATTCAAACATCTGTACAAACCTGAAAAGGACATGACAATAGGGCAGAGTTTTATTGCTATGTTAGTACCCCTGTTTTTTTAAATTACTGTTCATGTTGTTTATACCAATTTCAAGCTATGTAGTTTGGTGAACAAAGAGTCTTTGGGAAAGTACAGTCATGCCCTAGCTATATATAATCTAAATTAGACTATGTGCACCTTGCAATTTAGTGAATTATATGTAGAAGTAGCAAATCTCTAGTAACTCTTTATGTATAATGAATATAAGTAAATAATTGATAACATCTAAAAAAAAAAGAAAACATTTATGACCGACGGTGTGGCTCAGGTGGAAGAGAGCCTGCTTTGCAAGTATGAAGGCCTGAGTCCAAATCCCAGTCCCACTAAAAACAGATAAAAGAATACATGCAAATTGTCAAAGTGCCAAGTAATTTTAGTACTTAAAGGGATAAGTCTAAGAAATGGGTGTTTTGTTTATACTGCTGTATGAATGAAAAGCTTTAAAACTCTTAAGTGATTTTCTGATGTCTCTCACTCAGTAATTTTTTTCTTGGGAATTCAGTTAAAAAAAATCTTGAAATGCAACCAAAGAGTTATGTTCAGTGTGTACATGGCAACATTAATTATTATACCAAATATGATGGAATAATGTGTCCCCATTCAAAATGGTTACATGGAACTTTGAGTAAAGATACAGAGAAAGATTTTAATCTACAAAGTTGAGTGAAAAAGTGGCATACAAAATGTCTTAAATATTTTATAGTTGCATAAGAAAATAAAAGAATTCAAAGTGGGAAATGAAAAGAACAAATCTCTGTACCTACCATGTGGTAGGATTGTGGTTGACTGTGTGTGGGTGCATGTACAGTGCTGGGGATGGAACCCAGGGCCTCGTGCATCTAGATGGGCATCCACCACTGAGCCACACCTTCATTTCTATGGTAGACTTTTAAAGCTGTTTCATTCTTCTTATGTGCTTATGAAAAGCTTACATGACAATTACCATTTTATAACAATTTTTACTGTAATGTTAAGATACCAACCATAAATTGTGGAATATGTACAAAGTTAATTGTGAAAAAATTAACTATAATTAGAATTAGCTGTTATTGAAAATATGTGTCCCTTTTCTTCAGAATATAATCTTTGTATCTTTGAATCTTTTTTTTTCTCTCCCCACAGACTTGCTTACTATGAAATTCGATACCAGTTTTACAAGAGGGATCAGCTCATGTGGAGTGTTGTTAGGCATTACAGTGAACAGGTAATTTCCTGTCATGATAACCCATGAAGAATATACTTCATAAAATATCAAAATGGAGCATTTGTATGTCACTACATAGTGTGTGATAATGTTTATGTAATTTATCTCATTAGTGGTTTTCTTAAATGACTACTTTGTTTCTTTAGTTAGTCCATCCTTTGTATACTTTTAAAATGTCCTCTGGTGCCTTTTTCCCTTTGTGATTATATCTTTATCACTTTGGGACAGAACAGTGATTTTGGAGTCATTATACTTGAGTTCTTCAGTGACTGTAATTTGTAAATGTAGAGGAATTCTTGTTATGCATCGGTTTCTCTGTGGTACCGGGATGGACACAGAGAATTGTTGCATGCCATGTGGGTACCATTTCAACTACAGAGTGACATTTCTCTTTCCATCCTCTGATGGAAGATATTTCTCCTATAGTTTATACATTATGGTTATTACATGTTCAAACAATAATCTGTTTTCCCTTATTTTTTGTTGTAGCTACTAATTTTCCCTATCTAGTTTAATAGTAATAGCGATAAGATAATAAAACAGCTAATAATTACTGAATTACATACTCATTTAATATGTATACTCTCCCATGCAAAGTCAGTATAAACTCTCATTTTGTAGATGAGAGGGCCAAAGCTTCTAGGGACTAAGTGACTTGTCCAAGGTCACATATCTTCTGACTGTGTCTCACATGTAGCAGTGTTTGATTTGAAAACCTCTTGTAAAGCCTAGTGTAGTGCGCAGCCACAGTGAAAGCTGAGTGATGATGTGGTGCTGATTACTCTACACAGCTCTCCTTTAGCACAAACTTATGAACTAGTATCACCCTTTTGTTTCCTATTGCATCATGGCATTTCTATAAAGGACTTAATTTACTTTTTTTTTTCTTAGTTCTTGAAACAGATGTATGTCCTTGTATTGGGCTTAGATGTGCTTGGAAACCCATTTGGATTAATCAGAGGTCTGTCTGAAGGAGTTGAAGCATTATTCTATGAACCCTTCCAGGTACTGATATTTTATTTACTTTAGGTATGAAAAAAATCGACTTTATATATGTATATATATATATATATATATTTTTTTTTTTTCTTTTGGTGGGACTGTGTTTGAACTCAGGGATTCACACATACAAAGCAGGCACTCTACCACTTGAGCCACACCTCCAGTCCACTTTGCTGTGGTTTTTTTGGAGATGAGGTCTGGAGAACTGTCTGCCCAGGCTGGCCTTCAACTTTGATTTTCCTGATCTCATCCTCCCAGGTAGCTGGTACCCAGCAATTTTTCAATGTTAGATTGTATTTTGATTGTACTTAGGGACTGAATAATATTTAATAAAAAAATCAATTTAAAATTTTTATTTAAAAGTACTTGAGATGACATGGAAAGATTACTTTAGAATTAAATGGTCATTTCTAGTGCTCAGATAGGGCAATAAAGAACACCCATGTTTTCCAGGATCTAATGTAGTTGTAAGGGTACTTGGAGTACTAGGTATACTAAAGACTGTTTTAAGGCTGTTCCAGTACTGTGGAAAGGACTACTGAACATTAAAAACTGACTGTTTCATACTTTAGCTTTTGTCATGCTTGTTTCCTTCTATTTAGAGCTCAGTGTTGTGTTTAGAAGGACAAAGCAGGGAGAATAAATGGGAGAATGAGAGCCAAAATATATGGACTTAACCATGTTGGCTTTGGCAGTCCAACTTCACATTGTGATTAAAGCCAATGATTTGCACCCATCCAGTTTTTTCTTCCAGAACTTGCTGACATGTTTTCAATCAATGAGTGTTCTGTCAGTATTTGGAATATAGGATGAAAATTTTGTCTCAGTGTTTATGGATGTTTGCACATTCTTTGTCTTCATAGACTCCCTGAAATACTAGGTTAGAAGTCTTAAACTTATGTAAATTGTAAATAGTATGCCTTTTTTTTTTTTTTTGAGCCAGGGTGCTGTTCAAGGCCCTGAAGAATTTGCTGAAGGATTAGTGATTGGAGTAAGAAGTCTCTTTGGGCACACAGTAGGTTTGTATCACCTATTTGAATATATGTATATGAGTTTTTTCATTATGTTACTATATAATGCATCATTTATGACAAACAAGGTTAAATTTAATAAAAAAGGTATCACTTTCCTAATAATCTCTTTTAAAAGACAGGTTCTCTTGTTTTAAATGAAAAGTAATTTGATAGTGGCTTTTTAAATGTGTCATTCTAGTGTTGAATCAGTGTACTCTAAATACCTTTATTCCTCTTCTTGATAGGTGGCAAAACATAATGACTGCATTTTTGTGTATGAGCTAGAATTTTAAGCACCTGTGTGCTTAATGCAGTTGCTCACTGCTGTGATGGCTCTTCCTAAAGAACCAGATTACTTCTGTGCACTTTTTTGGTAGGTGGTGCAGCAGGAGTTGTATCTCGAATCACTGGCTCTGTTGGGAAAGGACTGGCAGCAATTACAATGGACAAGGAATATCAGCAAAAAAGAAGAGAAGAGATGGGACGGCAGCCTAAAGATTTTGGAGACAGCCTGGCCAGAGGAGGAAAGGGCTTCCTGAGAGTAAGTCTCCTGTTGAATTTTCAAGAAACTCTGCACTTTCATGTATGTACACTGTAAAACATGCTCTCCAGCTGTTTGAAACTTAGAAGGCCGCTTATGAGTCTAGGTCTGTCAGAGTAGCAATAATGACAAATTACAGATTTTGGGGCTTCCTTTTTGCTCCTCTTCTCTCTTATCTCTACCAGAGCTATCCCCAAATTCCTGTAATTTTGCATTTTGGATGCAGTGACAGTACAGTGGTGACACCTTAGCACTAGTGTGGAAGGTGAGGAAGGGAACAGCAGGGAAATACGGTAGAGATTCCAGCTGGAAGGAGGAAGAGCTCTTTAGGTCATCTGGACTGACCATTTCTGTGGAGGGGAATGTGTGGAAGTTAACCAGGACAGGCCTTTCATTATTATGTTAATACTTTCAAATTTACACAGGTAAATTTGAAAAATATAAATGCTGCTTAATTACACAGGTACTGTATGGATGGTCTCCTTATGATTATGACATACAAGTTCTCCTTTTAATTAGTAATTAAAACTTCATAGGAAAGGCTATAAGATTTGATTACCTCTCACCTCTTCTCAGTTTAGTATATAGCCTTCAGTTCTCATTCTGCATGTCTATAGAACATATAGGTAATTTTATTTACTATCATTATTTGATAGTTATTAAGAGTGTATGCCAATATTAATATTTTAGTTGGATATAATTTCAAGAGACTGTATTTGCTGAGGATGAGCCAGTGATTTTAAATGCTGTATGTTTTAAAGGGCTTTATTTGTTAGGTTGTTCGCTATCCTTGGGAGCTCCCTTTATTTTCAGTTTCTATACTTAAGTTACAAAGTAAATGTCAGTAAAATTTATAATTAGGCTATAGAGATTATTCTACTTAAAACATTTTTATTGATGTGGAAACTAGGGCTTAAGGAGATTGAATAAGCCGAGGGTGTAATTCAGTGGTAGAGCACTTGCCTACCATGCATAAGGCCCTGAATTTGATCCTCAGCACTGCAAAAACAACAACAAAACCAACCAAACTTAATTGGCTAAAATTAAAAAGTTAGATTGAATCAACTGATTCCAGAGCCAGATTGAGAATTGTATCATCTACTTTATGGCTCTTTCTGCTATGAATTTTCTATGATTTAGTATTATAAATGAAAGTGTTCACTTATGACAAGTTCACATTATCATTGATTCCTTAATCTTTTTAAAAATATTTCTAGTGGAGTCTTTGCTCCCATTTCCTGTGTGGGGAACAGGAAATGTTTCTCTCTCTTCCTGCTCCCCCCACCCCCATCGCCCCATCTATACTTTGTGCTGTTATATTAAAATAAATCCTTGCTAAAAATAAAAAAAATATTTCTAATATGTCTGTAGAGACCCCTAGTGGTTGGTTTAAAATTAAGCACCTTCCATTCAGTTGAGATTTTATAATTGATTCTCTTTCAGGGAGTTGTTGGTGGGGTGACTGGAATAATAACAAAACCTGTGGAAGGTAGGTTGAGAATTTTACTTCCTGTATCAAGTCTGAAGGGTTAATGCATGGTAAATATACTAGATGTTCTTGCTAATAGATGCTTGATTGGATTACTACATTTTATATTTTTATAGTCTTAAATTATTTATTATATTTTCCTCAAAAGCAGAGATGCTAAGTAGTAGATGGATTCAGACTTTGAATGCTATTTTCAACAAGCCCAACTAGATTTTTTGGGACCCTCAATAGCAATTTACTTGGGGTTATTATTTTTTTATCCCATTAAAAAAGTACATGGTGTTCAGTGCAGTCCCTATAAAATCCCAGTTGGCTTTTTTGCATAAATGGGCAAACTGAATCTGAAATTTGTATGTAAATTCAGGGAATCCAAAAATAGCCAAAAGAATCTTGGAAAAAAAATGAGCAGTGATAGAGGACTTATATATTTCCCTATTTTGAAACTCATTGCAGTATAAACCTAGAGTAAAGTAAGACAGTGATATTGGCATAAAGATAGACATGTAGATCAGTGGGATACAATCGAGAGTCCAGAAATAAGCCTTGACCGCTGTGGTAATAGATCTTTGAGAAGAGTGCCAAAAATTAATATGTAAGGAAAGAATAGTCTTTGCAACAGATGGTGCTGAGACAATTGGATATCTGCGTGTAAAGAATTGAATCCTTCTGCACACTGGATGTGAAAATGAACTCAGAATGGATTGAATACCTTAATGTAGGAACAAAAGTATAAAACTCCGAAGAAAATATGGCAGTAATTCTTTATTACTTTGGTTATGTATGACACCAAAAACACAAGTGACAAAAGGAAAAGTAGATACGTTGGATTTTATCAGAATTAGAAGTTTTTAGGCTTTGAAGGACAAGACAAAGGAAAAGACAGCCCACAGAGTATGAGAAAATGTTTTTTAAATCATATATTAAATTTAAAATGAGCAGAGGATATGAGTAGACATTTCTCCAAAGAAGACATACAAATGGCCAATAAGCACATTTCATTAGTTAGAAGGGAAATATGGAAATGTAAATAAAGCACAGTTTGATATCATATTGCACCTACGAGGATAAGTCAAGTGTTAAAGAGAACGTGAAAGAATTGGACCCTTAATGTACTGCTGGTAGGAATGTCAAATGGCGCAGCTACTTTGAGGGAAAACAGTCTATGCCTCAGAAGGCAAAGAATTGAGAAAACGTGTTCAAACAAAAACTTGTATGTGAATGTTCACAGCAGCATTATTCACTATAGGTCAAAGGTTGAGAAACCTTAATGTCCATTACTCATCACCTGATGCATGAGTAAATAAAACAGGGCAAATCCATGCAAAGGGATATTATTCAGCCATAAAACAAAGCCAAGGCCGTGTGCTGTGGCTCACACCTATAATCCTAGCTACTCAGAAGGCAGAAATCAGGAGGATCGCAGTTCGAAGCCAGCCCAGGCAAATAGTTCACGAGACCCTATCTCAAAAAAACCCACCACAAAAAAAGGCTGGCGGAGTGACTCAAGGTGTAGGTGCTGAGTTTAAGCCCCAGTACCGTGGTGGGCGGGGGGGGGGAGTGGGGGCCAGAAAAAGAAAACAAAACCAAGTACTAGTACATGCCACAAATTAGATGACTCTTAGAAGCATGATGCTAAGTGTAAAAAGCCCCATCACAATGACCACATATTGAATGATTCCATTTGTATGTAATGCTCAGAATAGGCAAATCCAGAGCTAGAAAGTACCTCTAGGTGGTTTTCTAGGTCTGGGGAGGGATCCTGGAGGAGAAGCAGTATTAATTTAGGTAGAATCACATGAGTAGGGCTTGGGGGAAATGGAGAAGATGGGTTTCTAATGAACATAGCCTTCTTTTTGAGATTGTACGTATTTTCTAAAATTGATTGTGGTGATGATTGCATAATTCTGAATAGCATTTAATACTGTAACAAATTTTATGGTATGTAAATATTATAATAAAGTTATATATAATAAAGTACACTGCTTGAAAAGTCTTTGTGGTTGTCACAAAAAGGAGAGTATTTTCTGGTCAGTTCTTAAACCTTTCAGTTATCCTTAACTAGTACTTCTCAAACTTGGTCTTACATCAGGATTTCTTGGAGTGCTTGGCTCCACCCAAGACTTTCTGATTTCTAGCTCAGTAGGTCTGGGGTGAGGATCAAGAATGTGAACTTAACCACTTTGAAAACCACAATTTTATCAAATTAAGATTAAATAGAAAGCCATATTCTTACTGCTTCCTGGGTTTAGCTCAGGTTTTTATTGAGTTCATACTTGCTTATTTTAAAATATCTTTGTATATTCGTTGTCTGGTTTTCTGAAGGTGCCAAAAAGGAGGGAGCTGCTGGTTTTTTTAAAGGAATTGGAAAAGGGCTTGTGGGTGTTGTGGCTCGTCCAACTGGCGGAATCATAGATATGGCCAGCAGTACCTTCCAAGGCATTCAGAGGTAACAGAGTGCATCCTGTGTGGAGGGTGTGTTGCTTTGTGCTAATTGTTACTGGGAACACACACCTAGGTTAGACATTTACCTGCTCTTAGGCCTTTTAAAGTCTAAGTGGAAGCTAAGAGAGTTTTAAGTAGAGTCCACAAGAAAGGAAAAATGAAAAGATGTTTTTTACGGCCCAGTTTCTCTTTTATTCAACACATGCTTATTGTTGTGCCCTATGCCAGGCACTGTGCCAGCACCAAGGATACAAAAAGTAAATAACTTAGTCTTTGCTTTTATTATTTGACATTTTCTTTTCTTTAAGAAAAATGTGGGAACTTATAGTCAGACTGGGAATTGAATACATTTTACCTTATTTTGGGCAAGTTATTTAAAATCACAGGCTATTTTTATCGAACATCTATGAGCTTAATTAGCATGCATATTTGTATTCTTTTGAAAGATTCTCCCCTATTTTCTTACACTTTTTCTGCTGCATTGTTCAGGGCAGCAGAATCAACAGAGGAAGTGTCCAGCCTCCGTCCACCTCGCCTGATCCAAGAAGATGGCATCATTCGTCCATATGACAGACAAGAATCTGAGGGCTATGACTTATTTGAGGTAAATTCTGTTCATGGACATGAATGAGATTTAAAAATTTTAAAGATTTCTGGGACTGGAGTTTCATGGGTTGTTCTTAAAGTTCCTGATTCATGAATTTCTTTCAAGGGTTGTACATGGTTTGTAGAGTAGTGTTTGCTTCTTGGTTTCTTACTTTAGCTTAACATGCTTAACATGTTAAATGGAAATGACTGGCAACTTTCTGTGCAGAAACAAAGCTTTTTGTGTGCAGAAAAGATATTGTTAAAAGAAGTCATAGGCTCTATCCTGTCACTATTTCTGTAGGCAGTTCATTTAGTTAACGTTGTTAGTTTTACTTTCGTGCTTTGTAGTTAAGTATTGGAATTTTACTGCTTCTTTTTCTCCCAACCAAATTCATTTATCTGCATTACTTTGTAAGTCTAGATTTATTCAGATATATTGAACTGGAGGAGAGAAAAAAAGATTATATACTATTATAATCTTGTTAAATCTTAAAGGGTAAAGGATTTTTGGTCTTTTATTTTAGTTTTAACTTTATTATATTTAAATGATAAATACATTTAAATTGATGTTCCCCCATGACTGGCTTTTTCCCATGGAAAATTTATTACTTTCCTACCTAGACTTTAAAATAAAAATGACTCTTAATTGTTCTTAGCTTTGGTTTTTATTGTACATGATTACTGTTTATCTTTTTGTATGCTTCTAACTTTATTTTCTTTCTTTTTCTGCCTACACAGCAAGAACTGGAAACACAGGAGTAAATGTTTCCTATACTACTACTTGATTTCATCCTTAAAAATCATAACAAACTGTGGTATTAAGTGATTGTCTGTGAATTAGATTGGGAGTCAGTTTTAATGAAATTTTCTTTGTAACTCTCACCGCCATCTAAACTTTTTATAGTAGTGACTTGGCTGCAGTGAAAATGGTACTGTACAGGACTATGAGATCAGTATAAAAAACTCAAGTATGCAGGAAATCAACTCCTCTCCATTTAGAGGGTGAAAGACTGTTGAGTCCACAAGCAGATGCTTCTACTATCATTTTGAAAATTTTGTCTTGTTTTTGGTGTTCATGTGCATGTCAGATAAAGTTGAATAGGTTAGTTATGTTCAATCTAGTGAATGATTTCTCTATTTTTGTGAGTCCTAATGATTGATACATCACTCTTAAATTTACTAAGGTGTGGGACCATTAGCTAGGATATGTTTTAATAACTGACACGTCAGTGGCTCTGTGTCTCCTTAGACATCAGATGATAATTGACACATGAATTTTGACAATATGCTCCTTCAATCTTTTTTTCTCTTTTTTAACTCCTTAGTACTATTGCTAATTAAATAGCAATAATTTTATAATGATCTTACATACATTCTCAGCCTTTAGCATGTATGCTTTCAAAAAATTTAGTCTCCTTATTGGGTATACTTATTTCATAATTATTTTAATTAGTATAAACAGAAGTGAAACATATAATTAGGCAAGTTACTTATGTGGCAGTTGAATACATTATTGTCTTAAAAACCAGTACTTTGCTTTTAAATCCTTAGAGAAGATTCATCTTAACGAGAACAAAAATAATTATAATAATTATTTATAATATTTATAATAATTATAAATTACTTGAAATTAGTGTTCCCATAATTAATTTTCAAAATAAGTTATATATTAATTTCCTTTTTTTTATAAATCATGGAAATATTTTATTTGATCTAACAATGTTTTACCTGACAATTTTTATGCTTTCCCTAAAATTGAGACCAAAGTATAACTTTGATTTTAATGTTGTATACTTGAAAATAATGAAACTGTTAACATGCAAGTGTTCAGTGGATTATATATTTTTAAAACTAAAGTTATCAAAATAGTTAATTGAATGCTTCACATTTAAAATGATCTCTTTAAAGATAAAAGAATGGCATCAAAGACCAGCTACAAAATTGGCTAGTGCTGAATATACAAAAAAAAAAGACTTCTGTCATTAGGGCTGAGGATGTAGTTCAGTATTCAGTGGTAGAACACTTGCCTGGTATATGCAAAGCCCTTTACTCTATCCTAGCACCTCACACACAAAACAAACAAACCACATCCCCTGCACCCCCCCCAAAAAATAGACAAAAAAGAAAGATTCCTTTGTTTAAAGGATCAAGTATAATAAAACATGTAAACATTAAAAGTATGTGACAAGCTTTTGTTGTACCTAGAGGGTAGGCAAAGATGTCAGTACATGTACAATTTTCTATGAGAATCAAGCACACAACTAATTCCGAATGCTGTCTTAAGTCATCATTAATTATTACCCTTCCTAAAATTCTTGGGTAAAAGTAGTGGTTTTTAATTTTCCTTAATACATGGTGATTTTAATGAAACTTAACTTTTGGGAACTTCTGTAACTTAAGATTTTTTTTCTTATTTATCTTTTGTTTATGTAGCTTCTTACATTACTAGCCTTTTCCTTGTGGTTTTTTTTTTACAACTTTATATCAATAAGCACAAAACTTCAAGAAACTTTTTATTATCTTAAACATGTAGTCATCTTGTCTTAGTTATTAGTTTTTGTTAAAATATAAAACAACACTTTAAACTTTAACTTTTAATTACTGGGAGAAACAGAATGTGTACTACTAAGAGAACTAGAAAGTTCTTTTTTATGAACAACAGGGGTAGCAGGCATTGATAAATAAGAAATTTTGGCTATTTTACCCCTTGCCCATTCGTCTGTGATCAGTTAGTTGAGAAAGAACTATTTATTATTTAGATTCTGCCAAATATACAAAAGAAAATACTTCTGTCCTTAAGAGACCAAGTATTAAAAAGTTCTAGAGTATTAAATTTGCCATTCTGGCTCTAATTGTAGTAATATGTGTATATTCTAATCTATTTGGGGATCTTTTGATTCTCATTGTTTTTCTCCCAAATAGTCCTCTGTATTCTTTAATACTCACCTCTGAGAATTACTTAAAAATACAGCATGTTTTCATAGACTACATTCTGCTTGTTGTCTATTATCCTGACATAATCTCTATTCACACTATACCCACATGTGTAGGTATATGTATGTATTTATGTATGTGTATATAGCCAGTTTCTAATTTATTATTCAGTTTTGGTTTACCATTTTTATGATATTGAATGGTGGTACTTGCTTTTTCTTTTTTCTGTGTATGGAAATGCTTCATTAACATTTTTAAATTGCTGCATTACCATCTATTGAAGTAACTTTACATTGTGTCTTTGACCATTTTCAATGCCTGCCATTAAAGTTGTTTCTGTTATTTTGCTAGCAGTAGTAATGCTGTAATACACATTATTATTACATGTTTTGCTTTTTCATACCTTGTGTTATTTCCTTAGAATTAATTTGTAAAAAAAAAATTAATGGCTTTTGCAAAGTATTGTTAAATTCCTCAAGCAGTGTTTTGGGAAGGGGTAGTAAATATTTTATCAACTAGTTTGATCTGCTGCTGTCAGTGGCTGAATATCTTTCCCTGAGTCTCAGAGTGTAGTGGAGTTTTAGTAGTACTGAAAAGAAGGTTTTCTAAATGTATTGTGATGATAAATTATACATAAAGAGCTCTCAATGGTTGAAGCACAACAGCCTGATAACTAATGAAAATTCATACAGGATAAAAAAAATAGGTAGTATTTCTTGGACTTGCATGTCTGATTTAAATATTTTAATATTTAAATTTCAAGCTGAAGATAGATGCACTAAATTCTTATAGTGCACTATTACATTCTTTCCTCATTTTCTCTGAAGAAATTGAGGCATCAATAGCAAAAGGTTTTAAGTAATTCACACAGGTGAGCTGTGAAACAAGTGACCATTGCTTTGAAAACTACACTCCTCTGAGATTCATTCTGAAGATGAGACCTCAGTTCTGTGGGGTTCCTTTCCTTGTTCATGGCTTTTTGTAATTGTCAAGAATGAAGAGAGACTAACATCTCTTAAGAATGTGCATTTACACATTGAAATAATGATATCAAGTATGCTTTCTCTGCTGGTGATTATATTATTATGTTATTCTTTAATAATAATAGTGTTGGCTGGGCGCTGGTGGCTCACTCCTGTAATCCTGGCTGCTCAGGAAGCAGAGATCATTAGAATCACTGTTCAAAGCCAGCCCAGGCAAATAGTTCATGAGATCCTATCTCAAAAATCCCACCACAAAGAAAGGGCTGGTGGAGTGGCTCAAAGTGTAGGCCCTGAGTTCAAACCCCAGTACTGCAAAAAAAAAAAAAATAATAATAATAATAATAGTAATAATAGTAGTAATATTGGGGTTGTATTCTTGGTTATAAAATGTTTTGGTTTTATTCAGTCAGTATGTTTATATTCTATATTTTCATATAATCACTTGATCTTTATGCATTATAGATACTTTCAATGGTATGCATTAGCATTCATCATAAAAAATATTTTGCTGTTTTCAGTGTGTGTTGGCTAATTCAAGTCAATAGTTTTAAGATAGTTGAAAAGGAAAATAAATATTTTAATGTGCTATGCTTTATACTTGAATTATTTTATGCTTGTATTTTTCTTTAGAAATAAACTACCAACTATTTTGAAATCTTAGAAATTCTTCACGTTGTCATTACATTTTCTTTTTTATCAGAAATATTTTATATATAAATATATTTTCCCATGTGTATTTTAATCTGTACAACTATACAACTGAATACCCCAAAGCAGTAAACATCACTTATCTTGGAATTTGGTCCTGCATATAGTATCTACCTCTATATAAGTCAGTGATTGAGTCTTTCCTTGTGAGGAATCACAAGATCTCTTCAAAAAATCTGATGAAAAATATGGACCATACTCTGAAAAAAGTTTTAGAACTACTATTTCAAATTTTTATATTCCATAATAGTCAATTATAGATCCGTTCCAAAGTGCTGACCATAGATCTCTATGTAAGAGAGTATTAAGAAATGCCAGTATTGTATTTTTACATTAGTATGTTTGTTCATGCCTCAAAATATGTGATGATTTCTGGTGGACAGTTGTAAATTTCTAAGTTACTACACAATAAAATTTATCAGATCACTTGGTAAGCATTTTTCTTAAGGCAGTAATGGAAGTTATAAGCATATTATGAGTATTTTTCTAGTTTCATATGCCAATATGTAGAATTGCACTTTTGTTCTAATAAATTTTCCATAGCACTATGGTTATAATTAGCTATTATATAAGTACTACTTGAATATATGTGTGTGTATATACATATACAGTCTTGCTGCTTTTTCAGAATCATGTCAAAAAGTTGGAAGGCGAGACTTACCGGTACCACTGTGCTGTTCCTGGAAGCAAGAAGGCGGTACTTATGGTTACAAATAGGTATTAGTGACAAGCAATGTTTTTTCAAATACACTTTAGTTGTGTATATAATGGGAATTTTGAAGGCCAAAATGATCTGGATAGGTCCTTTGAGGTCATCTCTTCCAGCCCACTCATGCTAGAGATCCTGAAACTGAGACTCCAGAGGGTGTCAGGAATTGTCCAGACAAGCCAACTCCCGAGAGTCTAAGATAGGCTTCCTGCAGGACTGACTCCACTGTGAGTTATAAATCGCAGTTGTAGAGGGTCAGGAACCACTTTTCCTTATTGGGGTTATTGGAAGATTCCTTTAAAGGCTAGTGTTATTTCTGTGTGTTTCAGTTTTTCCTGAGTGTGGCCTTCTCCTTGTCTGGACTATCACTGCCCTTTCTTTTTTTTTTTTTTTATTATTCATATGTGCATACAAGGCTTGGTTCATTTCTTCCCCCTGCCCCCACCCCCTCCCTTACCACCCACTCCGCCCCCCTCCCTCTCCCCACCCCAAAACCCAGCAGAAACTATTTTGCCCTTATTTCTAATTTTGTTGTAGAGAGAGTATAAGCAATAATAGGAAGGAACAAGGGTTTTTGCTGGTTGAGATAAGGATAGCTGTACAGGGCATTGACTCACATTGATTTCCTGTGCATGGGTGTTACCTTCTAGGTTAATTCTTTTTGATCTAACCTTTTCTCTAGTACCTGTTCCCAGTTGCTTTTAAGGTATCTGCTTTAGTTTCTCTGTGTTAAGGGCAACAAATGCTAGCTAGTTTTTTAGGTGTCTTACCTATCCTCACCCCTTCCTTGTGTGCTCTCGCTTTTATCATGTGCTCATAGTCCAATCCCCTTGTTGTGTTTGCCCTTGATCTAATGTCCACATATGAGGGAGAACATATGATTTTTGGTCTTTTGGGCCAGGCTAACCTCACTCAGAATGATGTTCTCCAATTCCATCCATTTACCAGCGAATGATAACATTTCGTTCTTCTTCATGGCTGCATAAAATTCCATTGTGTATAGATACCACATTTTCTTAATCCATTCATCTCACTGCCCTTCTTAAAGAACTCCTTCCTTTCAACAATTACCTCTCACTCACCCACTTCACCAGTGCAGTTTGCTGC